TCTCACACATCGAAGAGCAACCTGATTTGATTCTGTTTTTATTTTCGTAAGAAAGAGGACCATTTTCTACAGAGTGATTTGAACAAAAACAAAAAAAGCTTGCGAAAATTGGTCAAAATCATTTTTCCATAAAGTTATGGTTTTAAAAAAATTGAATTTTGAATATCCAAATCCAGCGGCGCCCTGTAAGAAGTATTTCTCATTATCGAAATCCATTATACCTACGTTATAGGTGGCGTGAATGAGTTTTGCCCGTAATGCTTGTTTTTGAGCTAAAAAATTGTTCACCAGCAGGCTCCTTAATACGAGAGACTATATACATTRTTTTTAATCGTGACTTGACCGGCATTCCGTTTCCGTGTGTACCTATGTATAGGTGGAAGTACTCTGACAGCTCTAAGACCCAGGGCGTGTTCTTCAGAGGTGAAATCGCGACCTACGGACCTGGTGGATTTTATTTCGATTTTCCAAAGGATAAAATGCACGCAAAAACGATGATCGAGAACCTCAAACACGACACGTGGCTGAACCGCGCTACCAGAGCCGTTTTTGTGGATTTCGCCGTTTACAACTGCAACATAAACGTGGTTTGTGCTGTCAAGTGAGGGCCTATTTCTTCTTTGATTTCATTACCACCCACCTATATACGCGTAATAGAACAGAACAAAACGCGACAGCGATTATACTTTACTGCAACAGCAGTGTATATTATCATTGAACGTACGTCAGCTATAYTCGACCTTCAGTCCACCGAGTTTTTTCATGCCTCCCATTTTCCCTGCAATTGCCTGGGCATAAAAAATGATGTAAGTCCCCTGCAAACATATCATTTTCAAGGGGTAATGCTTAGACAATTTTTTTGTTCCWCGCGGTCACCGCTCTTCTTTGCGCGTGTAGTAAATTAATTCATTAGTGTGTGCTTATCCACCCCGCCAGCAGTGACGTAGTCTGCARTGATGGGTTTTAGGTGTTTAACCCCCCCCTCCCTCCACCAGCAATTAAGATAAATAAATACATTTAAAATAGTTTAACTTATACTTAACCCCCGCCCACCACGTTCATAATAATAGTTATACGCCAATGCCCTCATATTACACAAACTCATGCACATGTCATTTAGTCATTACTCATTAGATAAAAATATTTAACACCAATCAATTGACATGAACTAGCTGTACGCCTGACAAAAATTAAGTAGGTACTTCCCCAAAGGTTCGATTTAAATAATGTTTGATTGCATTCGCAAGATTACTTTGCCATCGGTCAGAGCGCATTTTCAATTTTATCGAATTCTTAACATAAACAAATATTTAAAATTTTATTAATTATTCAA